GGAGGTGAGAGTTCAAAGCAGAGTAGTAGCGGCCCCGAAGCTGTGGGTGAAGTACCACGTTACATAGAAACGTACGCATGGACACACAGTGCAAAGGCTGCTATGATGCTACACCGACTAGGAACCATCAAAATGATTCCACAATTTTTGCGACCGTGTTCCCTAAACTTGCTGGGGAGACATCTCCTGGGATGCAACAGAGAGGTTTCAGTAATTGGTTCGGGAGGCATTGCCGTCGTGGAACGCGTCCCCTGGGTTTGGAGCCAATTTTCCAAATTTTGACGGTTAACTTCACGCGCCACGCAGGTCTGCCGAGCTCCCGACACGGGCGTTAATGTTCCGACGGGCCTCCTGCGTGCCCCTGAGAAGGAACCGCGAAAAAAGATTGGCTGGGGCGAGAGAAAGAAATGCCGAGGCATGAAAAGTGACCAAATCATTTATGTACATATGATGTGTTTCAGCATTTGCCAATACGTCGCGGGCGGGTGTACGGTGTACTCTAGTCTACAATAGAAGTTGTTTCCACGCCCACGTACGCATTGGTATAGCAGGCATAGCCAATCAATGAGGGAACAACCTCCATGCTGGACACATATTACGGCTGAGCTCCTCACGGCCCAAGATCATACTGTAACACCAAGCTGTGCAATACGAGAAGTATATGAAGTAGTGGCTCGCCTTAATGGGGACGACATGCGATCACATCTCCTCATGCAACCCAAACATACACATCCTGGTTTTGGCTGGGCTTGAATGAACCACCCTTTTGGTGTCCTCCGCTCTGTGCATCAGTGGCTTCCTAGGTTCTAGCGAGGACATTCGTGTTGCTGAGATGAGATAAGAATATGTAGAGAGAGTCGTATTGGCATTGCGTATTTAGCGCATTGCGCATTTTTCGAATATCGGCCCCCTTCCGGGGACCTTGATTTTTCCCGCTGGCACTGACGGCTTTTCATTATAATAGTCAGCCAGTCAGCGCGGTCGATCCTAATAATACAACCACGCACACCTGGCTATCGAACGAGTTTGAAGAGAACTGAATGCAAACAATTGGTCGAAAACACCTGATTTTGTCCAACGTACGTGTGCTGTCGGGCAATATACTGTCGAACATGAATGTTTGGGGTGTCGGCGCGTGTACTATGTTATCACGCTCGCGGGCTCTTGTCGAGAGCAAATCTAAAAACCGTTCATCTTTCGTATCCACAAATAAATCATCTCAACTCCCGGATCTATCGAATATTCAAATTTCAGGTTACTACTCCTCCTTATGACTATGGAACTTCACTAAGAGTCTTAACAAGCACCCCTCTCGAGAAAATGTCGTCACCACATTCTCAAGTAGTCAAACACAAAGAATTATCCTTGGAAGATTACTCAGCAAAGATCAACATTACATCAGAGCCACGTCATAAAGACTCTGGACGGACAACTCTGGCAAAACGCGTCAACAAATACCTCGAACGAAATCCTCGCACAAAACTGTGTTTCAGCTCATTGACCAATTTGAAATAAGCTTCGGAAGCACATAGGCCTCAACCATGTCTTACCAAAATATGTCAAATCCTTCCTCCAATACATCGTTCAGAACATTCATCAATACCAAATACATGCGGCACAAATAGACAAACAAACGTTAAAAACCCGGCGTTCGAAGACGCCAAAGGTAACTTTCGCCAATTATGCCGTTTCTCAAACATCGAGGCATGGATTTCTTAACAGACCCCCCTGCTGCAGTATCTCCCAAAACACAAAAGCTTAGCAGCCCCCCTGATGCATCATCTCCCAAAACACAACAGCTTAACAGCCCCCCTGCTGCAACAACTCTCCGATCCAAACAACGAGAAATCAAACGAATATCATGAAGTTATCTCCGAACTCCGCGGGAAAAACGCGGAATCGCGAATAAACAAGAAATGTATTTCTTATCCTAGCAACGAGGAATCAGACAAGTATCATGAAGTTGCCTCAAACTCCGCAGGTAAACGCGGAATCGCAAACAAACAAGAATTGAGGACTTCTCCTCATTTTCCGCAGGTAAAACGCGGAAAACGTGAACAAAATGAACAATCAAACCCGAACGTCCGCTAGAACTCTGCTTGTACTGCGACGAAGATCATGGCATCTCAGCATCACATTCATCCCCCCCCATGATTTTCGACGGCAGCGCTAGCAGTGACCCAACAACATCAACTGCACCATTGGGCGCGGTGAAGTCCTAGACTATGCGAAACATATCCTTGACAAATAAAAAACGCATGTACCACAGACCATAAACACCACGTTCGTTCGTGCGCATCGCAACACAACAGCCTACGTCGACGCAGTTCTCAAACTCATGGCTTTCAACAAACAAAATCGACCCAAAAAATAGATAGCCATGTCTTCTTCAGCTCGAAAAACATTGTGCTTGAAGTTGGCCCGTTCGATTGTCCCACAGAGAGTCACACTCGAGTGAATCTTCCGGCAGATTGCCACCGGTGTGCCAGACAGGTCTTGGGGCCGGACACATCCAACGAACCCTTTCGCGTAGTGCGTGCTGCGATAGAATCCGATCGACCACCGTTCGTTCGTGCGTTTTGGAGACAAGTTATCGGACGGCGAGCTGCACTGCCCTGCAGTGTAGTTTACTTCGACGTCAATGATTGTTTCTGTGTCCATCGCTCTTCGATCAACATCTTTCCGCAGCCGGGTAGCATGCTGATATGGTCTTTGTCGACTGTCATATCGATTGGTCATAGAACGACTGACTGTGGTGGCGGAAAGCCCGAGAAACGTCTGAAATTGCATCCCATTGCCTCATGTTTGATACCTGTGTGATGTGTTCCAGCATTTGCAAATACGTCGCGGGCGGGTGTACGGTGTACTACAGTCTACAGTAGAAGTTGTTTTCACCCCCGCGTACGCATTGGTATAGCAGGCATAGCCAATCAATGAGGGAACAACCTCCATGCTGGACATATATTGCGGATGAACTCCTCACCGCCCAAGATCATACTGCAACACCAAGCTGTGAAATAGTGACTCGCCGTAATGAGGACGACATGGAATCACTGGGCTTGAATGAACCACCCTTTTGGTGTCCTCCGCTCTGTGCATCATTGGCTTCCTAGGTTCGAGCGAGGACATTCGTGTTGCTGAGATGAGATAAGAATATGTAGAGAGAGTCGTATTGGCATTGCGTATTTAGCGCATTGCCCATTTTTCGAATATCGGCCCCCTTCCGGGGACCTTGATTTTTCCCGCTGGCACTGACGGCTTTTCATTATAATAGTCAGCCAGTCAGCGCGGTCGATCCTAATAATGCAACCACGCACACCTGGCTATCGAACGAGTTTGAAGAGAACTGAATGCAAACAATTGGCCGAAAACACCTGATTTTGTCCAACGTGCGTGTGCTGTCGGGCAATATACTGTCAAACATGAACAACACACGCGGCTGGGAAACTACAAATATATTTCGGAGCTCTCAAGTTGGAGCTCTAAATATGTTTTCAATATTTTTCAGAGCGGCAGCCCTCACGTGTGATTGTTGTTTTGCAAAAACATGCTGTTTAGAGGGATCGCATGTACATGTGCGCGCAAACAAAACAATCAGCAAACGGGCGTAAGGAAATTGACATGCGTGTCTGTCTTTCTGTCTTTCTGCCTGCCTGCCTGCCTGCCTGGTTGCCTGTCTGCTTGTCCGTCTGTCTGTCTGCCTGTCTGTCTGTCTGTCTGTCTGTCTGTCTGTCTGCCTACCTGTCTGCCTGCCTGTCTGCCTGCCTGCCTGCCTGCCTGCCTGCCTGTCTGTCTGTCTGTCTGTCTGTCTGTCTGTCTGTCTGTCCGTTTGTTTGTCTGTCTGTCTGTGACAACAAGGTCCATAAAAAACCCAAGCAGACTGGAAGCCCATTTCACCACCTAAACACCAAATTGCAATACTGCGCTATTGCCCCAACAAGTACTGCTGTAGCACTTTGCCCGAGCTGACCCATATGCTACCTTTTCAACCCGTGGTCGGTGCCTCGAGATAGCAGAGCACAATTGTGCCGAACTTGATTGGAGCAGGGAAGAAAGTGTCTGGCCCCGTGCAATGCCGAGATGAGGCGTCGTTTATCATTGGAACCAGAGACGCCTGTAGGCTCACGCAAGACACCTCCACCCGGAGCCAGATATGGACAAGGGGGGAGGGGGGTACACACCACAGCGAGAGCGAGACGGGAGCAGGGTGTGCCCTATACTACTGCTGCTGTGAGCTATCATGGGCGGAGGAAGCGAGAGGAGAAAACGTTTTGTTATGGGTCTCGGTTCATAGCTTGCTTGTTGTTTTTCTGTTTGCAGCGGACGCGGTCTGTGGGAAAGAGAGAGGCACATCACAACACACACGCTCGTTCCTAGACACCACCATCGACGATGCATGCAGTGCACCTCACTCTATACATGAGTGCGAGGGTAATATCTAGTGTGCGAACCTGTGCCCTCCTGCTAGTTTGTCTGGTCACACATCACGTGCTGATAGTTGCCTCAAAAAGCAACACGAACGAACGAGTTCAGAGAAGCACCAGCTGCGGGCGGCCTTTACTATTTTCGAGCTGAAGACTCCCCCTCCCCTGTTTGAACCACCGTCGCCCCTCAGAGCTCCAAAAGGGACGGGTGCATACTGCAGGTAGTTTTTCCAACCAAGAACCCCCCCCCCCCTCCCCAGTCAGTCTACGGTAGGAGTATATTTTCTTAGTATGACACAACAAATTCATCTTTTTCGGAGAACTCAAGAGCTCCTCGAAAATGTTTGGCCAGCCGCATGATTAGATTTGTGTTCGGGGGGCATCTCTGCTCACACTCTATCGGCGAGCAGGACTGGTCTGTCCGGAGGTCCCCTTGTTGCTTGAATGCAAGCCAAGCTGGCTCTCCGATAGCGTCGACGAATATCTTCGCTTGCGTTCAAGAACCAAGCGGACCTCCGCGCAGACCCGTCCTGCTCGCCGGTGGAGTGGGAGCAGAGATGCCCCCCCGGGGCGACCATGCTGTTCTTCAAGAAGGAAGGGCGACTACGCCGTCAGGAGCATCGACGAGTGTAGCATGCACACGTCATACTTTCATTGTTGCTGCTTCTGTGACGTTTGGCTAAAAGAGAACTCCCCCCCTCGTTCGGTCCACTGTGCTTCTTGTTCAGGACGAGAAGTGCTTCAGGAAGAAGCTGGCGGAGGCGATGAAGAGATGCCCCTCTGGTGACGTCGACACTATCCGCGAGCTTGTGGAGGAGGCCGACACTAAGGGCTTCCGCTCCATCGCCATCGACGAGGCGGCGACGTTTGTCGTCAAACAAGACTTGGAGAAGGTCTTCGCTTCCACCTCCCCCCCAGGTCCCTACAGTATTGCTAAACCGCCCATGGGCGCCCATGGGCGGTTTAGCAATACTGTAGGGATTGTGGGAGACCCGGGGGGGGAGGGTGGAAGGCGAAGACCTTCTCTTGCTGGTCGCTGTTTCGCAGCAACCATCGCCGCCTCGTCAATGGCGACGGAGCGGAAGTCCTTTGTGGCGGCCTCCTCCACTAGCTCACGGACAGTGTCGACGTCACCAGAGGGGCATCTCTTCATCGCCTCCGCCAGCTTCTTCCTGAAGGGCTTCTCGTCCTGAACAAGAAGGCAAGGCATACACAGTTGACCGACCGAACGAGAGAGGGGGAGTTGACACAGCGACAACGAAACAAAGGTGACGTGTGTTCGTCATTCTGGAACGGTCGGGGTGTGATCCTCCCCATTTCCAAGCTGGAAAGTGTCAACCAATCCTGTGAGAAAATGGGCCCATTTTGCAATTCGCCAGCTGGAATACTATTATTGTAGGAAATATTCGGCCAGTGACAATTGGGCTCTAGGAATAGCAGTTTCCTCCGAACAAGAAGCCCAAATATTATTTTGGGCTAAGAAACGGACCCCCTCCCCCAACGAAAGTCCCGCAAAAACGGTGCATTGTTGTTGTCGCCGCTTCTGTGACACTGGACTAAAAACGAAATCTCCCCCTCGTTCGGTCCACATTGCCTCATTGAGGAGCGCTTCAGGAAGAAGCTGGCGGAGGCGATGAAGAGATCCCCCTCTGGCGACGTCGACACTGTCCGTGAGCTCGTGGAGGAGGCCACCACGAAGGGCTTCCGCTCCTTCGCCATTGACAGGGCGACGACGGTTGTCGCCAAACAGGACCAGCAAGAGAAGATTTTCGCGTTCTTTACGTGAGGGATGTGTGCAGACGCTGCTCGTCTTCTGTCATGTGTGTGATGCTTGTTATTGCCTTTACAATGATGAAATATGGTGTGAGGTTGTACCCAGTAGTCATTCATCCCCCGGAAAGAGGTGGACTTAGAGTTTCCATAGGCCAGTTTTTGGAGTGCTTCCTGCATGTCTGGGTCTCTCGGCCATGGGGCTGTGGAACAGGTGCATTTCTACAAAAACACCCTCCCGCCGTTTCTTTTTTTATTTCTCAGTGTAGCACCCCCAAGTAAGGCTTTGAATGATTGTTCGTGTATTGTGGCGAGTCCTTCCCGCAAACGTTTAGAATTGCGGTCCGTATTCCGACGTGAGATGGTGCCACGGGCCATTGCCTTGTGTGTGCAGGTCTCGATTCTCACACGTACAACTGGAGAACCATCGGTCCTTACATGCAGCGTCTCACAACATTTGTCCATGCTTTCTTGCTTGCATCCCGTTCCCCCTTTCATGTTGTTTGACAGGAGTCTTCCCGGCGCCGTTGTCGACTACGTCTCGACCACTTCGCTGGATGCTGCGGTAAGTTCTACCTCGCCTACCATATGCTAGATTGGTGGATTAATGTACACTACAGTGTAGCATAGCGAGGGACTAGCGTTCAGGAAAGCCCTGGGGCACTCCTCCAGTTCTCGAGAACGGCTCGAGTGGTTGACCTTGGTCCGTGTGCTGTAGAGTGAGGGACCGAGCTCAGCGGTTCTAACAGCGCAGATCCCGTGAGGTATGTTGACGATGTAACTTGAGGTTCCGCCGGGTTGAGTGTGCCCGATGCGTCGAAAGGTTGGAGCGACGTTGTGTCTGAAGTCGCAGTTTGTTCTGTATCCTGAGCTGTTTATCCCTCGCGACTGCACCGCGAAGCGTTCTTTCGACATGTCTCCCCTGCTGGACCCCCCGAACATTCACCCCATTCTCCCACTCACCCTCGCTGCCTGTTGTACACCCGCCTTATGGTTCCCACATGGCTTGGGTGGACACAACACGATACAGGACGTTTCCTCGAAATTTAGTATGTGTCGAGGAACCGCGAGTCTAGTCGGTTGTGCTCCTCGGTACACGACATCGTGTACCGAGCAGCTCAACCGACTAGATTCGCGGTCCCTCGATACCTGCACCTTCTTTCGAGAGAGTTTCCTTCTAGGAGGGTATCGTGTTCTCACGTCGACCGGTTTCCGACCTGGAGGCGTCCAGTTTTTTCACCATCGCCAACCGCTGCGACCTGGTGGAGAGCACCCCGGCAGAGGTGGCGATTCCGGTGAGGAAAGCAATCGCGCATGGCCGGTTGCAAGGGGAGGGTGCGTGACAGGTCGTGTCAGCAGGCGTTAAGTAACAGTGACTTCTGCCGCCGCCCCCTCTTCCCTGGAGCTTCTTCCTCCTGTCCTTGCCCACGTCCAGTAGGCCCTCCAGCTCGACCTCTCGGTGCCGAGCCTCAGGCTCCTCGAACTGGCACCGCGCTGTCGACGCATCGAAGCGGATGGTCGATGCCTTGACAACGAGGTGCTACATTTGTTCGAGGAGTCTGAGGCTCGTCACCGAGAGATCGAGCTCGATTGCCTCCTGGGCGTAGACAAGGATAGAAGGAAGGAACACCGTCGGCACGCCCACCCTTTTAAAATCTCCATCTCTCACCCACTCTCCCTCACTCCGCTGCACTGTCTCGACCGCCGGCACTCGATGTACCCACGTAGATGGATGAAGCTCTCCAGATCGCTGACTCGTGCGGGGCCTGCCAGCCCCGGCGGTCTTCGTCGTTGAACGCTGGCGTGGCGCCGAGCACCGCGTCCTTCGCGACGGTGGGCCAGGCTTTCCACGA